TTTATATTATTTAAAATAAATTATTTTTTAAATTATTGTACATTAAATTTTTATTTATTATTATATATTTTATATTATTTATTATTTATTATTTTATTAATTATTATATTATTAAATATAATATAAAATAATATTGGAGAGATTTACTTTTTAAATTTATAAATTTAATATAATATTAAATATAATATATAAAAAAAAATAAAACAAAAAAAAAATATATATATATATATAATAAATTATAATAATTATTATATTATTAAATTATATTATTAAATTTCAAATATTATTTTATAACATAATGAAAAAAAAAAAAATGTATATTTATATACATAGTAGACAATATAAAATATAAAATATATATATATATATATGAGATAAAAACCATGCCGAGACAGAATAAAGTAAAAACCTCCCTAAAAAAAAGAAAATATGAGGAAGGTGGTGGGCCAAAAGAGAGACTCTCTTTCTCTCTCAGCACGTTATCCTCTCTCTCTCTCTCACTCACTCACTCACTCTCTTTCTTTCTCTCTTTCTCTCTCGTAATTTCGACTTTCGGAGAAACCATCGTAGAAAACCGCGAGGAGATAGGTCGTTTTTTGCGATGAACGACGCGGTGCTTCGCCACGGTGGAAGGCTCCGGTCCTCTAGCCACTTCTTATACGTCCACGTCGCCATTTGCCCCGTCCCCCCGTCCCCTCCCCAACCCTCCCCTCATACCCTCTCCCCTATCCTACTGCATCCCTTTCCTACCCTCTCAAACCCTCGTTCTCGTTTTCGTTCTCGTTCTATCCACCACCACCACCACCACCACCTCCACTTCTTTCTCCTCTTCCTCTTCCTCCTCCTGCTTCTCGTCCTCCTCCTCCTCCTCCTCCTCCTCCTCCTCCTTCCTCCTCTTCTTCCTCCTAAGAAGAAATCTACAAAAACCTCTCTCGCAATAGTTGCGCGCTGACGGCGGAAGAAAAAGGATGTTTTTGCTCGACTCCAAGTTTTTTGCCATAGGGTGAGTCATTCCGCGTATATCACGCGGGGATACGAAGCGTTGCCTCCATTCCTCCTCCATTCCTCCTCCTCCTCCTCCTCCAACCACCACAACCTCCTCCACCTCTTCCTCTTTTACCTCTTTCCCTTCTTTCTCTCTTCCTCTTCTTCCTCATCCTTCTCTTTCTCTTTCTATCTTTCTATATTTCTATCTTTCTCTCTCTCTCTCTCTTTCTCTCTTTATTTCTGTTTCATTCTATCCTACGTTCGTCGTCCGATTCTCTCTCCTCTCTCTCTCTCTCTCTCTCTATCTCTATCTCTTTTTTTTATGAACGATATTATTGCACCGATTGTTCCATCGTTCTATCTTTTCTTCGTCCGTTATACTAGATTTTTGTCGAGAAAAACATTGTCTTTTATATATACATATATATATATGTATTTGTGTGTATATGTGTGTTATCTGAATTACCTATATGATTTAGTCTAATGTATATCAAAGGTAGAGTTTGTATACTAATTTGGAATACATAATGTTTCTATTCGATAACATATTTTTCTAATTATGTAAATAATTTTGTCTAGAAAAAAAAAAATTTGATCAATTTGAAAAATTATTAATAATATTATAGGATCATATCGTAAATGATATTCTATATTTTAGAATTTGTACTATTTGATTAATTTTTAATTAACAAATATTTTAATTTATTTTATATTATTTTTTATATATTTATATTATTATTATTATTAAAATTAAAATATATATTATTATATTTTAATTAGTAGGATACGAAGACAGCCAATGGAAGAATCGCGCTCAGGGATGAGAACAATGGCGGAATTTGGTATTTGCGGCAATGAACTTTCCAATTACTAATACCAATTAATAATAATAATAATAATTTAATAAATATATATTATTATATAAAATATTTAATATATATATAATTTTATGTTTATATTATTATTATTATCATTATTAATATTAATTTTAATTAAAATATTTTCCATTAAAATTAATATAAAAATAATAACAATAACTATTATTAATAATATTAAACTAAATATCAAATTTATTTTCCCAATATCGTAATAATTCGAATAATTTTCAAAATTTACGAAAAAATATTTGATTAGCATAAAAGTTACCCGCGCCCCCCACTCTCGCCACTCTCCCCACTCTCCCCACTCCCACTCCCATCTTCCATACATTATTACAAATATCTATCAAAATTTCTTCGACAATTTATTATGCATTTATGCATTTATGCATTTATGATTGAGAGGAACAATTTGGGACACCGATTAGAACCGTATTTCATAAGTTTTTATAACGTACCTATCCTTTTTTCTTTTAAACAGAACGGATGGATATAAACGCGCATATATATTTGAAATACAAACACAAAAAACAAAAATGGTGGACAACAAAAAAATGGAGAGAAAGAGAGAGAGAGAGAGAGAGAGAAGGGAATCTTCGCGGTTCTAGTACTCGCTGAAAATTCTTTTCCCCCAATGATGAAGAAACTGTTCTTTTGCTAAGATCGTTGCTCGTCGTTCTTATTCGCGCGCAAAAAAAAAAAAGAAAAAAGAAAAAAAACGTCCGAGACGGAGACGACGGAGCACCGAAGAAGCCCGGAGCATCTCTTCGCGATAGTTTCGTCGAAGAAGGAAGAAAAATCGTCTCTTTTTCTCTTTACCGAGCACCAACTTTTTTATTTCCCCGTGAGTCATCTACTTCCACTAGATAGAAAAAGTTAGCAAGCAAGCAAGAGAGTGAGTGAGTGAGAGAGAGAGAGAGAGAGAAAGAATCCAAGAGAGACCGGATGGTCGCCGCTGTTTTTTTCTCTCCAACTTGAATTTTTTTTTTTTTCTACATAACAACGTACACCGTCAAGAAAAATAACCTTACAATAATTAGTCAATATTGTCATCATCATCATCATTATCATTATCATTATCATCATTGTAAAATGTTTGTCAGTTATTTAAATGATTTAGAAATAAATTCTTTCGTATTGAAATGTACAAATGTTTCATTACTATCAAATATTATGAAGATTAATTAATGAAAATAAAAATTACATATATCCATTTATTATTTCAATGTTTATAATAATACATTTTTATCGAGAAATTCCTACGATTGTCACCTGAGTTGCATTAGATGTAATTATCTTTTCCTATCTAATACAATCATTCCTAATTTCAACCTAATTTCAATAGAATATATTTAAACTTCAAATAATACGTAAGAAGTAAAAAAAGAAGAAAATAAATGCTATGAAAGAATGATGATTATGAAAAAAAAGATCATAATCATGGGAAAGTTTGATAGTTAACACTTTGATTGCTACTACTACCCATATATACATATATCTAGTGAAAACCATCAGTGGTGTCTATGAACTTAAATGCGCGCTCGGGGGGTGGTTTTGGGGTTGTTTAAATGCTGTATTATATGTATCATCAAAAATTGGTTTTCTCGTATACATAATAATGATTGAAAAGTAATTCAAATTCAAATAATCAGCTTACAATTATTACATTTACCAATCAAAGATTACTCACGAGTTCCGTTGACGTTCCTGCTGAAAATCTTAGGAACAGCGGTGGCAGTGGCAGTGGCGATGGCCGCTGCGATGACAGCCGGGGGTGTCTGTTGAGGGGGACTTGCGACGCCGTGCGTCGCGGCGACGGGCATTGCCGCGCAATTAGTTGCCGGTGTTGACGCTGCAATTACCGGCAATGGCGCCACCGTCGCTGCAATTGACGTTGACGATGCCGACACCGAACCCGAACCCGAGGACACCAAACCCGACGAAACCGATGACACCGATGCCGAAATTGACGAAACCACGGCCGAAACCGATGCCGAAGCCGATGCCGACGCTGAAATTGCAGACGTCGAGGAAGACGACGACGACGAAGGTGGTGGAACCGGTGAAGGAGTCCCGGTGCCCGCTTCTTCACTCGCGGGTGCGCCGCGAACCTCCATCCTCCTCCTCCTCCTCCTCCTTCTTCTTTTCTTCCTCCACTTCCTCTTTTACTACTACTATTACTATTCTACTACGTCACGAAACCTCCTCCTCCTCCTCCTCTTCACCCCCTTAACCGTCACCCACCAATCACCCAATCACCCGTCAAATGATACAATGACGACGATGACGACAATTTTGATTGTTATGTTATGTTATTTATTCGACGATTATATTATTACGTTTTTATGACGCTAACGTGTGCTTTGATTAATTAAATTTCCTCTTTTTTTTTTTTATTATTCTTTCCTCTCTCTCTCTCTCTCTCTCTCCCTCTCTCTGTTGTTATTTATATTAACAAAGAATTGTATTCAAAAAACTCTTTTGATCTTTTTTATCACAGCACACTGCTTATTCTTTTTTCTTTGTAATATCTTCGATTATAAAATTGATAAAAAAAATTAATATTTAATACGAAATAGGTGAAGCTTTGATTAGAAACGATTGATTCGCAAAGAAATTAGACGACGTTGACGTATGCGTGCATGCACGCGCGCAATAACCCACGTGCGATACACCAAACACCTACTACTTGCGTTTACTTGCCGGCCGGCTTTCAAAAGAGAGACGAAATAAATAAAATAGAAATAGAAAATCAAACAGTAATAAAAAAAAAAAAAAGAAGAAAGAGAGAAAAAATATGATTCGTCGAATGTGTAACAATGATATAATTACTCGCGAATAGATCGTCGTCGTCGTCGTTGTTGTAAATAAACAATGCAAATGAAAATAAATCTTTCTTATTGTTCGTCTCGTTATAATTTCGAATGAATTGATAAAATAACGCGAATAGGAGAAGAAGAAGAAGAAGTGAGACGAGCGCACGTTCCACTCGTGACAAGTGTGACGCCGACTGCGCGAGCCGCGCGACTACGAACCTTTTCGAAGGATGGCGCGCGCGAAATGAGATGCGCGCGCGAACTAAAGTTGCGCGCGCAGCATTCACTACCTTGCGCCGCCTCCCACCAACGGCGTACAACCTAACCCCCCACTATGCTACTTTCCTACCTTAACCCCCACTACTCTTCCCGAACTACTGTACACCCCTCACTCTCTCTCTCTCACACTCTTTCTCCGTCTCACTCGCTCTCACTCGCGAAAACCGACGCATCCCTCGACGTCTTTCCATTTTCAACGCCACAGAAAAGTGCAGCCCCATCTGTATTATCCTCTCCACTACTCTCTCTTTCTATCCTCAATCTATGCTCCTCCCCGCACCACCCTAACTTTGAGTAACCACAAAAAAAAAGCCCTACCACTCGTCACCCCTCGTCGAGAACAAGTGGTGGAAAGGCTGAGAGAGAAACCTTCTTCTTCTTCTTCTTCTTTCTATAAAAACTTTTTCCTCTCCACCTCACCCCTTTCTTCTTCTTCTTCATCTTCTTCTTCTTCTTCTACTAATACTACTACAACTACCTCCCCTTTCATGCAACCCTCGCACGCTAAGGAACGTAATACCACCTTCTTCTTCTTCCTCCTCCTCCTCCTCTTTATCCCACTTACTCGAACCGACATTTTTATAGGTATCGTACTTATAAACTCTTATTTTTCAAGAGTGAATTTTCCTAGAATTAAGACTTTTCTTTGATACCAACTAGAGGAGAAGGAGGAGAAGAAGAAGTTTGAGTTTGAACTTAATCTACAAATGATTTGAAATTTTCGCGGTACTTCGATTCTCTTCGTTCTCATTTAACATTTTTTGTTTTTTTTATTTAAGATTATCATTAAGCATATTTATTATTCAACGTTGAAATTAATCGCAAACTATTCGCAAAAATCTTTTTTCCCACGGAAAATATGCGCACAAGCGCATCCGCAATGAAAGAAAGAAAGAAAAAAAAAAAGCAAACACAAAAAAAAAGGTTTTACCTGAGAAGGGAGAAAGGAGTCCTACCTAAGGGGTGGGAAACTCTTTTTTTCCTTTTCTTTCACTTTCGAAAAATATGTAAATTGATGGTACAATTAAAAAAAAAAAAAAAAACAAACAAAAAAAACAAATGTTCATTTGAAAGGGGGATAGAAAAATTGCTTTCCAATTAAATTCTGTAGAATCGTCGGGGGATGATAAAAGAAACGTAGATGTACCAATAGCATTTTCTATCAATGTCCCCTTGTACGTTCAAAGCTTCAAACGTTTTTTATTATTTCCGTCATATTACGCGTCGGTCAATGTAATGGATTCGTCAATTTTATTTGTTTCTTTTTATTACTTTCATTCTTTTCTTTCTTTTCTTTTCTTTTCTCTTTGTTTTGTTTCTTTCTTTTTTTTTTTTTTCATTTTATTCGATTTTCCATCATAACACATGATTACAAATTACATCGCATTACAGCACACACATATACATAAATTTTAAATATATATATATATATATAAAGGAAAAAACTTATAATTAAAGAGAACACATTAATGGCAAGTAAATGATGAGATAAGCTAATACAAATAATATTTAAAAAAAAAAAAAAAACAAATAATAATAATAAAAACTTATTCTATATAAGTACATAAATATATTATAATCGAATAAATTGTAAAAAAAAAAAAAAAACATATTATATAATAAATGCGACTGAAATGTAATAAGTAAAATTAATTAATATACGTAGGTTGGAACTGAAATAAATGCCAATTATTTATTCACAACCGATACAAAAGAGTTACATGTTTGCATCTGTTACTGTCCTTCAAAGTAGTCACCAGGGTTGTGTAGAACCCATTGCCAGTGATGTGGAAGACGTAAGTATACCATTAGCAGAGCCTGTTCTGTTGATAGTGCGAATCGAGCAGCAGTCTACTGCCATGTCTCATCCTGTGTTACGATACGGCGTAAGAAAGTCTCACCTTTACGCTCATAGAGCTCCAAGTGCATCTGAGCAGCGTCTTAACGCATCCATTTCTGCATTTCCGTCAATTCATGCGAAACCCATCGTGGCATTCGTTTCAGAACTGTTCCAGAGATTCGACAGGCAGTAGACCAGCTCCATTCGTACCATCAACAGAATAGGCTCTGCTGACGGGTTCTACACAACGCTGGTGACTACTTTGAAGGACAGTAACAGGTGCAAACATGTAATTCTTTTGTATCGGTTGTAAATAAATAATTGTCACTATTTAAGTTTCAACCTACGTATTAACCCTTTGCACTCGAAACCTTTTTCGCTTGCACTCTAACCAGCAACACGAGACAATTTCGATCAAATTAGAAAAACATTTAACATGTATTTTAAAATTATTTATAAACAAACAAACGTATACAAATAAGAAAGTTTAACCAATTAATATATTTTTATATGAAAAACAACGAATTTTGAGAGATATTATAATCTGTAATTAATTTTTGTATGATATTTCGTCAAACAATACGTAAAATGTATCCTAGGTTTGTTTATCAGGACATGTATCACAATAATATATTACTTCCGGCTTACTTCCAGGTGTATTATGATCAAAGCAAACTTTACAGTCCCTTTTTGGTTCTTTAAGTATCATCTTTAAATATATCTTCAAAGAAATATCTTAACAAACATCGTTAATAAGCAGATAGAGTAACGAGAGACTTCAAATCAGCCGGGGGGCGCCGTATCAGCGCCATTCGAGTGCAAAGGGTTAAATTAGTTTGTTTGTTTTTTGTTTAACTTTCGTTGGTCTCTCTCTCTTTCTCTCTCTCTCTCTCTCTCTCTCTCTCTCTCTCTTTCATTTGATTTAAAAATATAATTTGGCCTGACGTTATGTACAATAAAAAAAATGTTTAAAAAAAATCTAACAATTGTTGCGAATGTAACGTACGTACTCGTCGTGCAATTATTGTTTGCACAAAATTTGTACTATTATAAAAACTTATTATTCATTTTATTGACGAAATAATGATCCAATTTGTTGACTCTTTCATCATTCACTTTCTCATTCCCTCTAATTTGATAGTAATAGTATTTTTGTTTTGTTTGTTTATCTATAAAAGCTTGTAGATTGTATAATCAGCACCTACATATACATCTTAGATTTTTTTTAAATAGAAATAAATATAATTCGTCAAAATGATGATGATGAAAAAAAAACAAAAAAAAAAATACATAAACTATGTATAACCATAGATGGATCATAAATATTTCTAATCAATTGTAAAAATCCTAATACTAAAATAGTAACTTCATTTAGTAATATTCTAAAAAGAAACAAAATCATTCGAAAAGAATTTTTCATTTCTTTTTACATACAAACAAAAATGTAAGTCAATGGAATAATAAATTAAATAACGAATTAAAGTATCGTTTAAAAAATCGATCAAATAAAATTCTATTTTACTCTGCTGTTAGTTAGTGCTCTTGAACCAATGAACAAATTTTAGGAACTCGGAAGCACTTTGTTCTTATTCGTATCCTTCCACATCATCAAACAACTTTAATTCGTAAAAACAAACAAATGATGATTATTCAAATTCGTAAATTAAATGCTATCACGTTATCTAATCTTTAGTACATATAATACTTCGCTATATTATTATTCTAATCACGTTAAATTCATGTTGATAGACAGAATGAAACTACCCCAAATGGATGAATGAGGAAGAGGGGAAGGGAGGGATGGTTTACACGCATCCATATTCATACCAAATTGGACAACCCCTTCTATTATTATCATCCTTCTTCGTTGGTGATTCTGTAAGGCCTTCGTCTTGATTAATATCCTTCGTAGTTCCGTTGTTAATATTTTTCGATTCATTAATAACAGCTGATACTTTGTTATAAATTAAAAATGGACGTGGTTCTGCTTGAGTTTCGGTTCGTAAATTTTGATCTAAATGAACCGTACGTCTATCGTCCTCCTGTTCTGGTAAGGATGCAGGTGGTGGAGGTGAATCATCATTATAATAAACTGTTCTTCTAGTTCCTGCATGACCCAATGAAAATCCTTCAGGTCCTAAACTTTTATTATTAGCTGCTGATCCTATAACATATAATTTAATGAATATTTTTATTTTAATTAGGTTTGAATGATTTTCAAGAATTATTATTTACCAGTAGTTGTTACTCGATGATCTTCGATACTCGCATCGGAATCATTTCCACCAGATTCCGATTCGTATGTTTTTCCTTCGGATTGTTTGCTATCGTCAGCCCAAGATCGTCGTTTCTATATTATACATTATATTAATTATTTATTTAATAATATTGTTGAAGTTATCTATATATTATATAATTTGAATTTTGACAAGTACCTTATTTAAAAGTTCAGAACTAGCTTTTTTAACTTTACGAACAAATCCAAGAGCAAATCCTTTCCTATTAAAAAAAAAATATAATAATCAAATAGAAGGATCATTCAAATGATATTTATAAATAGATTATTTTTATTCATTACTTACTTTTTAGTGCTACAATTTTCTAATTTACGATAATGTTCCATAATCTTGTCCTCTAATTTTTCTTTTTGTCTATACAAATGATTAACTTTATCCCTATTTGAAAGAAACATCAAAAATATTGATAATTAGTGTAAAATTGATCTCTCTCTCTCTCTATATATATATATATTTAAAAGAATTTACACATACGTGTACATTTTTTCTTCCATATGATAATGTTCCTTGTCTTCGAGTGAATGTGTCAAAAGTTCATGGTATTGACTAAATAATAATGTAATGTGATCCATTAAAGAACGTCTATCACTATCTAAACCAGAATTCATATGCAATAACATCTACAAAAATATTAACCAATTATTATTTATAAAAATAAATAAATATATAAATGTGAGAATATATAAAAATTATAGAAACATACTTCGCATCGTTGATTTAATGCATTCAATTGTACCTCTAAATTAGAACATCGTTCATCTTTAGTACTAAGTTCACCTTGCATTTCAGTTTGTTTTAAACTTAATCTATTCATTTCTACTTTATTTTTTCTATATTCCTCTTGTAAATTTCTATATTCACTTTTTAATTTTTCTGCAGCTGTATACAAATTTCTAAAATCATCCTACGAACAATAATCAAATAATACAATTACATATGCACGTCTTAAATCTATCTTCTTAATATATATAAATGACGTGTCACGTTGTTTGTCCGCAATGGACTCCTAAATTACTGAACCGATTTTAATCGAATTTTGCACACTCTGTGCAGTTTCATTCAACTTGAAAGATAGGATAGTTTATATCTCAATTTATAATCGAATTATTTGTTTATTAATTAATTCGTTGACTTAACAGACGTGTGTATCAGACTGATTGTGAGCCACAGTCACTCCTAGTTTTATTTTACAAATAATTAATTAATGATAAACGTACCGTTAATTTGGAATGTTCACCTCTCAAATTATTTAAACTCTTGGCATTGCTAATCAACGTTTCTTTGTCTGTTAAAAGACTCTTATTCTTTAATTCCAATCTCTCACAGGATTCACGTAACATTCTCATTTCATTCTTAACATCTCTCAAACTTGATTTAAGAGTTTCACGTTCGTGAAGTAGATTCTCGTATTCGTTATTTAATTGTTCGTGTAATGATTGTAACGTATCCTGATCGTGCAGTAATTCCGAATGTACTCGTTGTTGCATGCTACGTTCTTTCAAAAGCTAATATAAAATAAAATGATATAATTTGACGTAATATAAATAAAAGATCAATAAAATAAATAATTGAGTTTGTTTCTCAACTAACTTCTTCTTTTTCAGCAACAAGTTGAGAATTAGCTAGTTGCAATGCGGTATGTTGAGAAGCCAATGATGTACTTTGAGATTGTAAAGTAGTTATAAATACTTGAAGCTTTGCATTATCCGATAAAAGATTTTCCGACATTGTTTCAGTAGCGATTAATTTCGATTGCAATTGTTCTTGTTCGTTCTAAAAATTACAGAATGTGTTAGAAAATATGTTCACATGAATTATACAAACGTATAATAATGTACCTTTAATGATTCAACTGTTTTTTGTAAAGCATTATTAAGATCAGATTGACTATTTTCATCAGTTTTCTTTGATTCAGATTCGATGATCAAACCATAACGTGAGGGTTCTGATTTAATCGATTTTTTCACAAGATTTATCACCTCAGAATTTTGTGCAATTCTAAAAAGCAACGAATTATCAATTAGTTTTTCATTTACATTAATAAAATATATTTGATTAATTACCTTTCTAATATATTATCCAAAGGAAGTGATAACATGTTATCACTGAGACCAAGTTTTTCCATAACTGTATACAATTGTTGCGTATTCAATTTTTCCGCAACTAAATTTGATTTTAATGTTTCCAACGTTTCTCTGTCAATTGCTGCTCTTGAATCCAATTCTTTACTAGATCTTTCAACTTCTTGTAATCTATAATATATATATATATAACATAATAATTAATTACATTGTTATTTAAATAAATAAATTAATAAAATGATACCTTAAAATTTGTGATAATGAATTTTCAACTTCTTGTTCAAGTTGTGCAACTTTTCTTTCCAACACTTCAATCGTATTTGTTGCTTTGTCCAAAGCCACATCTTTCTCCTGTTGATAAAATATGTTAAAAAAAAAAAAAAACAATATTTTAAAATAAACAACATTTGTTTGTCATTTATTCTATTTCTTACTACCTCAATCGTTTCTTTAAACCTAAACGTATCTCTTTGTGCTGTATCTTTTTCTTTTTCCAATGTAGTAATTTTAGATTCCAAAAGTGTACATTTAGATTTAATTTCATTCATCTTGAGTTCAATATCCTTAAGTTCTTCAACTTTTTGATTTGTTGTTTCTAACGTACGTTCCAAATCATCGGCTCGTCTTTGTACACTTTCTAACAATGATTGAACACGTTGTTTTTCTTTCACAGCAATGTCACATTGTTTCTCCAATTCTACCATTTTTCCATGTTGCGTCTAAACAAAAATATTTAATCGTAATCATATAAATAAATATAAAAAAAAATGGTTTCGTTTTGTCGTATGCAACTCACTTGAAGATCTTGTTGCTGTTTCTCAAACGATGTTCGTTGATTTTTAATAGTATTCTGAAGCTTTCTATTTTCTTCCAAAGCTTGTTTACAAACTAATTCAAGATCCGAATTTTGTTGTTTCAAACGTTCACTTTTATCATTCAACGAGTCAACCTTTAACGTAAGTTTCTTCTTTTCTTTTTCTAATTCCAAAACGTGAGATGAGGTTTCATGAAACGAATCTTCTTTCAATGATTCAATTATGCTTATCAATCGTCGATTTTCCAATTCTAATTTAAGAGCACGTGCCTGTGCATTGTTAGTTAATTGATCTGACAATCTATTATCGGTGTGTGCTAAAAATAACACAAAATATAATTATCTTAATAAATGATTATAAATAAACAAAAAAGAAAATAAATCATTTTATAAAATGCACAAATGTGTTGTTTACCTGGTTCTTCTGAATCACTCATAGATCCAGCCAATGCAGCTTCATTAGCTGCAGCTTTAGTTAATTTTTGCAATTGCATATTTTCTTCTAACAATTCTTGATACTTTTCAATATCAGCTGCTCGTTCCTGAAACATTGAATTATTATAAATATTGTTACAGATTGTAAAATTACAATGATTAAATGATAAAATCAAATATTTGAATATTCTTACCAAAGCCATATCATTGAGTGCCTGTTTATATTTAATAATTTCAGTTTCAAGTTGTAAAACCTTGTCTGATCTTTTCTGCAATTTATCCACTTGTCCCTCAAGCATCTCACGTGTCTCCAATAAAACTCTTTAATTAAAATGTACAATGAAACATATATCAATAATATGTATTTTTATTATAATAAGAAATATAATTGAAAAAGAATATTACTTATTGTCTTCTTGTAATTCATCAACACGTATCTTGAAATAATCAAAATCAGATATTTTGTCACGATAATTTTTAACTTCAACTTCCAAATGATCAGCACGTTCTGCTCTTTCAATCACTGCATCTAATTCATCTCTGTAGGTTTTAGCTGTTCGTGCCTCGTGCATCAATTCTTGATTCTAAAATAAACAACAATTATATTTATAATATATTTATTGTAATTTTCTGTTGAAAATAAATCATGTTCATTTAAAGATTAATGTTTTACCTCTTGTCTAAATTTAACTAGCAAAGCTTTAGTATGTTCAAGTTCTTCTTTGCATTCGATCAAAGCTTCTGTCTTCTCTTCCCTATAAAATTATTTATTAATTATAAAGCAAATAGAAAATATCTTTAAAAAGGTAAAACCATCAAATGTTTACATACAATTCTTGTCTTTGTTTTCTAACTTTAGATTTCCAGTCGGCTAATTCAACAGCATAATGATGATTATCTTCTCTTTCGGATCTTGTAACTGGATTAGATTGATGAACTTTATTTATTTCTTCAACTTTAGCACCGATAGATGAATTATTTCTTTTAGATATTTCATTAGCAGCTACGTTACCCCATTTCTATTAACATATTATATCATGATGTATAATTAACAAATAAAAAACATTCTTTTTTTTTTTAATTAACCTTTGCTTACCACTCTTCACCGGGGTAACACGCTTACCACACCCGAGTCTTTTGGACCCGGACGAGAAAAATTGTTATAAAAAAGAAACTATTGCATAGATTTACTTCAAGATTTTTTTTTATACTTCTTTAATACTTACTTAAAAAGACTATATAAGTTTTATAGTTTTCAATTAAATGTAAATATGTTTAAAAAATGATGAAAGTTGAACAATTGAGAAAAATGACTAAAGTTGCAAAACAAAAAAAGGTCTGAGTCCTTTGAATCAAGTGTGATATAAGCAAAGATTAATATAACATATCAAACACACATGTATACCTCTTTGTATAAATTTAATTCTTGAATCATAGCTTTTATTTGCATAAAAAGAAATCCCATATTAACAGCTTCCATAGACTCTTGAGTAATTACTATATCATGATTGTCTGTAACCTAAATGAATTTAATAATTAAATTGTTATAAATAATTGTAAATCAAAGGAAAAATTCAAATTTATAATAATAAATACCTGTTTTATACATTCAACTATAGATAATTGAATATCAACAGGCAAACTTGTAATTTTGGTAATAAATTTTTCTTTATTTGGACATTGCACTGCACATCCAAGAAGTAATAACAATAGCAATTTCATATCATTGATGTGCAACTCTGGTTCTTTACCTAAATTTATTGTATCAGGTAATCTCAACAAAATATGACCCAACTCTTCTTCATAAAATTGTTTTATATTTTCAACAATAATCTGCAAATTCTTTGAACGAATAACTGGATTTCCACAGGATGGTACTACTTCATCACGCAGAGGTTCTGGATTACTGTAATCATTTATTTCATTGGTTATATATATATATATATATATATATATGGATATAATTATCAATAAAAATTGTTTATAAATCAAAAAATAACTTACATTTGCAGGAAGACATTATGAAGTAAAATACCATCCACTAAATCTTCATACGTTGATAATACATTGGGATCTTCCAGACAACTAGCAAACTATTGTAAACAAAGATTTGATTCAATTCATATTTGATAGATAATAATAATTGAATAATAAATATATATATATATATATATATATATGTAAATGAAAAATAAACATACTCACCCATGTCACCAAAGGACCAGATAATAACTCATCAATTGCAGTGGATGTCATTTTAATAACTTTTTTTTTTTATAAACAATTGTATTCAAACTGTTTATCGAAAATAATCAACCTTGTTTTAACAAGAGAATCACAGTCAATATTTCTGTCACATACAACAGCATATATATATATGTGTTGTTTTTAAAAGTAATCTTTATTTTCATTCACTTTCATCTTACGACTAATCCATAGTGCAATAAGTGCATACAATTGATATATATAAATGATTGTCACACTATGATATTTCTTATATTGTTTACAAGAGACAACCTTTAATTATTTTTCAAATTCTTACTCACGTACATTTTGTTTTTAAAATTGTTTTGATATTCAATACACAAATCAATTGATATAAAAACATTTATAAAATGTATTGTAAATCATATTAATAAAAATAATATAAAAGAATAAATGAAAAGCTTTACTAAGGATAACTTAAAGGAACACCCACTTCCTACGAGAGAATGTACACGACTGAATGGATTGTACTGAAGTATACCTTATATACCCCCCACCATCCCGGTATATAACTGCATTTATTAATAATATATCCATGCAATTGTAATTGATCAAAAAATGTGAAATCTGAATGATCTTGATTAAAATTGAACAGTCAATGTATACTTCATATTTGATGCGTATTTTTAAGAATTGACAGCTCGAGAGAATTTGGATCGATTCCCAAGAATCGAGTAAAGAAATAAAAAAATCAACAAAGTTCGATAATAAAATGAAAAGTGTTGCGACGTTCTCGAAATATGATTGGTTGACATTAAACGTAATCGACCAATCATAACAATTCTATGATCTAGAGGAAAATATTTCTTCCAACTAACCTCACCCATTGGCTTCTTCAACTTTCTATGCGCAATTACCTTAAAAGATTTGTCAATATGGTCGTTCCATGGACTGTATTGTGTAATTTTGATATCAGGATATTATTTGTGTGAAATAAACTATTAGTTTCGAATGAAAATGTCTAACGGGATTATTTCTGTAAGAAAAAGCATCGATTAAATTTCATCTTTAACTGATCATCCAATTGAGTGATTTTCATTGAGAAAATAAAAAAAAAAATATATATATATATATATAAAAATATATATTATACACATATAAGCAATTGCGTTACACATAATGTTATTGATTGATATTTTGATGACCTTCGTATCAATAAATAAACGACCGAATTATGCTGTTAAAAGTGTAAGGGGTATATTACCATTAATGAAATTCGCATTTGTTTTGGTAACAATATTTGCTGTCTGTGAACTATTACCATTTACCATCGGTGCTGAACATTTGGGAAATCCTTATGAAATATTAGGTATTCCAAGACATGCTACTTTACGGGATATTCGAAAAGCATACAAAAACCTTGTCAAGGAATGGTAAATTATTATTCTTTTATAACATAATGCTATTGATATTTGTATCAATATAAAATCTTAATGATGTTTATGATCTAATTTGTTTATAATTATAACAAGTATTAAAGTATTGTTACAATTATACATTAAACTTTGTACAGGCATCCTGACAAAACGGATCATCCAGCCGCTGAAAATAAATTTGTGGAAATAACAAAAGCTTATGAGGTAAGTTACATCGGATTTATTAATAGATTATTTTAAAAGTCAATCAGATAAATAATTCAACAATTGTTTAATATATAATGTATTCATCGTTTATTTTTTAGAAACAATTCTACTTTTTATGATTGTCATTTAAGTAACATTTATTCTAATGATAATACATCGACAAATTCTGAAATATTACAGTCTTTTATCACAATGTTACTTTATTTAGCTTCTTACAGATCCTGAAAGAAGGAGAAAATTTGATAATCATGGGATTACCGAGGAAGGTTTTCTCAGACAGAGAAGAGAAAGTAGCCATGTAAATATGTTAGATCCATTGGAAGAATTATTCAGCGGAAATTATAAATTTCATTATCAAAATCGTGATATAGCATTGTTCCATAAAATGAGCATTACATACAGGTATATCATCATATACTTATACGTAATAAATTGAAATGTAATAATACATGAGAGACACTTGTAATATGTGAATATTAATAACATATATTTTCCAGATCCTTTGAAAATGTGATAGTACCAAAGACTTATCGCACACCATATTTAATTTTATTCTATTCGGATTGGTGTTTTGCATGTTTACAAGTTGAACCAATGTGGCGACGTTTGATTGATGAATTAGAACCATTAGGTGTTGGTTTAGCTACAGCACATGCTGAGAAAGAATCATCTTTGGCTAGACGACTTGGAATGCATACACTTCCTTGCCTTGTTATTACAATGGATGGGCGTACTAGTGTTTACAAAGAATCGTTATTTAGCGTTCAAAAAGTTGTTGGTAAATATACAGTAATGTTTATGATACATCTAAAAGAGAAGACAGATTATTATAATCATTGTTTTTTTCTTTGCACAGAGTTTTTACGAAATAAGTTCCCATACAGATTAATACAAACTGTGAATAATAACAATATAGATGCTTTTTTATCTGGTTGGGCGGATAACAGAATACGTGCATTGGTATTTGAGAAAAGAGATTCAGCACGTTTACGTTACTTGCTTATGGCATTTTATTACAGAGCTCGTGTAGCTTTTGGCTTTGTACAGGTAATCTATTATAAGATTGAATTGTTTCTTTTAATTAAGTAAACATCATTTGATTTTATAATTATTTCTGTAATATTATTATAGATTGGTAAACCAGAAACAGAGGCAATCATATCAAAGTATAAAATTTCCGGTGACTTAGATACTTTGTTACTTTTTAACGAAAATTTTGAAAAACCAATGGCATCAGTTAGTATGAAAGATATACCAACAGAAACGATGCATAATGTGATAGCAAGTAATAAGTTCCTTGTTTTACCAAGATTATCGAATCAAGCAGTTTTAGATTCAGTTTGTCCTCCGGAATGGCTCAGACCACGAAAACGATTATGTGCAGTATTGATATCTCAACAAAATAGTGCAGTTCATGATTTAGCTAGGCACAAATTTAGACAAGCGGCACTTGAATCGTCTTACAGGTAATAACAATACAATAATTAACATATAATTATTCAAATAATAAAACATCTTATAGAAGATTATAATTTACAGCACTGAACGAGTCAGATATACCTACGTATTTAAAGATACCCAACCAGAATTTGTCTCTGCTTTATCAGCTGGTGAAGGTAGCCCATTAGAACCATTAATGCACATTGTTATTATATGGAGGAGAGATGCCAATCATTTGAAATACGAATGGTTATCTAAGGGATGGTTTGAAGCTGCTCAAGATGAAAATAAATGGAACGAAACTCGTCATACTTTGGAACAAACATTACAAAGATTGTTATGCGCTTCTGAAGCTCTTTCATATGCAGCTATAGTAGGAGAATTAGCAGACGAGCATGCACAAGTACTACGTGCACTGTTATAATAATATTTTTCAATATTAATATTTGTCAGATATTACAAGTATATTTATTTACAGGGTACTGTAGATAGGCTTATAGGAAGAGCATTATTAGCTGTTGATTATATATCCGATAGCTTTACGAAAGAACAAATATTACCTTTAATGTCAGTATTAGCTACTTTGATGTTGATCGGTGCTGCAGGATATGGAATGTCATACCTAGTGTATGTATATAGATATATTAATTAATTATTTAATTTAATTGAAATTGAGATTGAAATAACAATGAAATATGAATGATATTTGATAAATATAGAAAGTTGGAAGAAGCGAGCGTTCAAGCTGAGAAAGCACAGCATAAGGAAAAAGTGAATTCTAATGCATCACAACCGCAATTAAGATTGCACGAATTACGCGCTGAAAAATACAATGGACTCGTTCGTCTATTAAAACCAGGCTGTCGAACAATTATATTGCTCGTAGATTCTCAAAGTAGATTAAAGTTACTGCCAGCTTTTCACAAAGCCGTGTGGCCTTATAGGTAAGAGACAAATAAAATAATAGAAATTATCAAATTATTTATATGAAACGTAACTTAAAAAAAAAAAATACAATGTTTTCTTGTATTTTTTATTTACAGGAAAAATAAAACACTTATGTTTGGACATATGTCGTTAGAGAAAGGTCTTGATTGGTATAAAAAATTACTTTCCTTGACTTTACCAGAACAAAAGGAACTAAATATTAATGCGAGAAATTGCGTTGGCACAGTTTTGTCTTTAAATGGACATCGTAAATATTTCTGCATGTATCATGCTAAACATCCAGAAAATATTAAAGGAAAAGGTTCAAAGGTTAGTACATTATACCTTGTATTAAGATATAAATTTACTACTGTTGACCATTCAACCAAATGGGGAAGCTAATAAAATACATTGCACTGAATGAATGTATTTCAATTTTACAAGTCAGTTATTTTAATTGTCAGTGACTGCTGATCAACAGTACGTTGTTTTTAAGTTTGTATTATAAATAATAATAATAATAATTATTATTATATGAAATATACAGCGTATGGAAAGGATAACTAAACAATTGAGTCAACGAACTGACGATGCAGAAGCTGGTGCATTTATTGGTTTTGATAGTTCAAATGAATCTGATATGTCTCAAGACGAAGTAAGTATAAATAAATATTTGTGTGTGAAAAGTATTTTCAAATAAATGATTAAATAATGAAAATCGATCAATATTTTGAATACAGGCAAATGGAGATACTGTTTTATATCAAGAAAATCTTCTGGATGGATTACCTATGTGGCTTGATAGATTATTCGAAGGTTTAACACATCGTTATTATATTAATTATTGGCCTGAGTTCACTGCCAAGTAAATGAAGGCTAAAAACGCGTTTTATATCCTTAAAAAAAAAAAAAGAACAAAGTTTACCTAGTCAGAAATAAAAAAGAACAAAAAACAAAAAAAAAGTTGAATGCCATTGCAAGGTCTGTGATCAATGTTAAAAAAAGAAAAAGACAAAATCAATGTATACAGATCAAAGAATTGTGTATAAAGAAGAAGAAGAAGAAGAAGACACATGCATATTTAACTTCTTTATTAAAGAAAACTAATTAGTTTGAAGAAAAAAAAAAAAAAAAAA